GGTAACAAAGGACCACGCGGCCGCTCGCTCACTCCTCCCGCCCCCCCCTCCGGTGGGATAGGGGGGAAGTCGGAGGAGAGGAAAAAAAACAAACCTGGAACCTCGAGGGTTGAGATAAAGGCAGTTTACTGGAACAACACAAAGAAATTGCAACAACAACAATGGTACTAATGAAAAAGTATACAAAAAGAGTGATGCACAGTGCAACTGCTCACCACCCGGGACCCGACACTCTGCCACTTCCCCCACCGAAAAGAAGAGCCCACCCCCCGGCCCGCTCCCCCTTTATATACTGAGCATGATGTCACATGGTATGGAATAGCTCCTTGGCCAGTTCAGGTCAGCTGCCCCGGCTATGCCCCCCACCTCCCAGGTTCCTGTAAAAAAAAAATTAACTCTATCCCAGCTGAACCCAGGACAACACTGCATATAGGTCTTCCGAATAACACATTCGGTATGTCCTGGTATAGATGTATGTGAACCTCAGGGCAGGCCCAAGAAAAGAGGAAAAATATAGGATGAGAAGGCTCTAGCCAGCCATAACTTGAAGAGGCAATGCTCTACCTGCTAGCCAGTTTTATTTGCTTTCCTGACAACAACAGCAGCAGCTACCAAAGACATATTTACAGAATGCAGCCTCCTTTGAATGCATATAAGCATAACCCTGACAGTGAAAAGCAGAAAACTGTGCTTCTTTCAGGAGCTTTGCTTTTCCATCAAATGCTGAAATGGTGAATGAAAAATCTTAAAATCACCTGTACTTTCAGAGGAGGCCTTGAAGAAACAGCAGAGACAAAAATACAAGTTCTGCAATCAGGATTAACAGGTTATAACTTGTCAGGCCATAAGCTGACACATTAAGAAATCTCATGCAGAAGAGGGGAAAGAAGTTGAGATTTAGACACGGCCATCTGCATGGATCTGTTTAGTCTGGAAAAAGTTGTAGTGGTATTTGTGAGATTATCTGAACATTTTAATTGAATGTTCAGCCAGAATCTCCTGAAGAATGTGTTCAGCCCTTGTAAAATACGTCAGGTCACCTTGGAGAAGCTGGTCAGCTCAAATGAAAAGCCTATCATTTAGGTAGCTTCTCATCAGACATCCCCATCGTTAGGGATAGATAGATTCAGATAGATAGGGATAGCCTATCATTAGATAGATTCTCACTCTGCCCTATGAAACAAACAAAAAAACCCAACCCCACCCCCCCCAAACCATTTCTGTACCAAGTCACATTGCCAGATCTGTACCAGAGCTTGGAAGTGCTAAAAGACCTTTTGCTCCCAGTAAAACCCAGTATGACTTTCAAAACGAAGAATGAGATTCTAGAGCAAATTTGAAATAGAGTAGGGCAAGCAGAGAGAGCAGCACTGTGATAATAGCTTCTTATCGGTGTATGTTGCCCTAAACTTAGCACAAATTGGACCAAATGAAGTTTCTTTATTGCTTCTGGGCCCTAGAGCTGGCCAGTATCCTATGCATCGCAGTACTCCAGAGGTGAAGACAGCATGCATCTCTCTAGCTGTGTTCAGTTCCAAAAGGACAAAGAAAACAATTTCCTAGGTGAACGGATAGAGAGAAAACTTTATCAGGTTGTTTCAGTCTGAATTGGAGACCTGAACACAATCTCCATAACTGAAAACGAACAACCCTGAACACCACTGTTGTGGTTTAACCCCAGCCAGCAGCTAAGCACCATGCAGCCGCTTGCTCACTCCCCCCCCAACCAGTGGGATGGGGGAGAGAATCAGGGAAAAAAAAGTAAAACTCGTGGGTTGAGATAAGAACAGTTTAATAGAACAGAAAGGAAGAAAATAATAATGTTAATAATAAAATGACAATAATAACAATAAAAGGACTGGAATATATACAAAACAAGTGATGCACAATGCAATTGCTCACCACTCGCCGACCAATGCCCAGTTAGTTCCCCGGTCGTGATCTGCGCCACCCCCCCAGGCCAACTCCACCCAGTTTATATACTGGGCATGACATTGCATGGTATGGACCCCTTTGGCCACTTTGGGTCAGCTGCCCTGGCTGTGCCCCCTCCCAACTTCTTGTGCCCCTCCAGCTTTCTTGCTGGCTGGGCATGAGAAACTGAAAAATCCTTGAGTTAGCACAAACATTCCTTAGCAACAACTGAAAACATCAGTGTGTTATCGACATTCTTCTCATACTGGACCCAAAACCTAACACTATACCAGCTACTAGGAAGAAAATTAACTCTATCCCAGCCAAAATCAGGACAACCACTTTCAGAGTTTTGCTCCTCCAGATACCCTTCTCTCCTAAGTGTTCAGACAGAA